GTGGGGAGCACCCCACTTCCCGTAGGTGTGAAATCATCTCTTCTGCTTGGGGAAGTCATGGACCTTGGTGGATAGGAGATTTCAGACAACAAATCGGTGTGTGCAAGGTCTTGATTACCACGTAGTTTTTCGATTTTGATCATTCCTAGGTGGAGGGAAGCGGTTACCAAAGCATGATCCTTCCTTGTAGATGTTTCTGAGATCATCACGAATTTACAACAGCTGAGTAAGTGGTGTCAAGCTTCTCTATAAATAGTGACATTTCACTATAATAATTAATAAACATGTTTTTTGTGGAACCGATATGTTACATTATGTATGTGTTCGATCTCTATAACAACATTTTGCTATTAGTAGTCAAAACATACAAGAACAAACGATATTGCTGTTAATTATAGAGAGGTTTGATTGTATTACACAAAAAGAAAAGTTTTGTTAGATACACCCACCAGTTAGTCAAGGCTCAAATAACATACCATGCACCTTTTCTATGTCTCTTGTTTTGTTTCCGTGAGACCAAAGAGACATGATCCTTCTTTTCCAGGCGTTGCAATTCACTGTTACCTTTCCGTATGACCAAGATCGTTCTCTTCAAAAATCACTGCTGGCATCTTTACCTGACCTTCCAATATAACTGTAGTGTTGAACATGATATAATATTGTCAAAAAGACTAATGTATTATTAAATCAGATGGTAATGATTTAACATACGCATTCGACAATACAACCGATGCCCTGAATATTCATGAAAACGGGGAGTTATTATTAGAATATACTATGAGATATATATATATAATTTGAATGAGAGACTTGCACCCACCGAAAGGATTAGTGAATTCATGAACCTCTCTTCTGATTGTTGAGGTGAAAGAGTGTGTCCTCGAGAGGCTTCTTCCATCTCTTCCACAACTAGGCTCCTTGTCTTCCTCCAGATTTTTATCTGGTTCCATCACATATATCATTACCGTGGTCTGGCCATAAGGGAACATGATTTCGATCAATTTCTGGAATATCTTGAGGAATGTCATCACGAACGTCAGTCCCTCGATTTTGTGCTGTCTGATTCTTAGGGGAAGAAGTTTGACATTGAGCAGCAGCTAGCATTTGAACGGAAAAAAAGACATACATTCAAAACTTGGAAATAATCGGAAAACAATCTACATCTACATGACTCAATTAGATCCTTACTTCGTCTCCATAGGCATGGCACCTAATTCAGAAACTTCACCCGATTTTGACAAACTCTTCCTTATACCCTGTAAAAATCAAAATGTTGTTGCAATAAATCTAGAATTCCTGCAAATATAAAGCAAAAGATAAACCTGATCAATCAAAATGTGTTATTACTAATGAAAATGAAACAGAAAAAGGTATTAAAACAGGAAAAGTTATGTCTATGATGAGCTCTAGACATAAATTTCAAACAATAAGCATTAGTATTATCGATCAAACACTTAAGAAAACAACTATAATAAGAGTGTCAAATCTACTATTACATATGCATGTATTAATTTCCGTATAACTTAAAAAGAAAACGAACCAATTTTAGTGGAAGAATAATAATGATAGTATTTCTTCAGCCTGTTCTGAACGTTCGCTGCCAGCCATAATGTTGCTAATGGACCCTTCCGTTCCGTCCCAAAAATGTCGACGAATATAACATTCTAATTAATTTCGTTTAAGGTTTTGGAATTCTATTTCAGTATAATTAAATGGTTACGCGGAAGTTCGTATGTGGCGCCACCGATGACGCTTTGGATTCATTATTTCATATTCAAAACACAAGTAATAATTTGGGAATAAGTAATTAGTGTTGAAAAGGTATAATAGGAAAAAGTAAAAGTGAAAAATCATATGCATTTAATTTTCGATATTTTTATTTTTATATGTCAAATGTGTTGTTGTTAAGATGTTAATTTGGTACGTATTAGCCATGTAATATACTAGTATAAATGTGTTGTTAACATGTTAATTTGGTACGTATTAGCCCTGTAATATAATATTTGAAGGAGGGCCAACTAATCACAACCGTATCATATCAATCAACTGGAGACAACAAACAAATTCTGCTAACAATAATATAATGCTTCAACCTGCAAATGTTTATTTCATTGTCTCCGAGATATGATAAGTGGAACTGTGGAAGTCCCTTTTGAGCTTAGGTGAATCCATTGGGCTTTCGGCCCATGTTTCAGTTGACCTTGAACGTGAAAGAGTGTTTTGCCCCTATGAGGGAAAATTAGCAATTAAGTCATAATACCTAACATAATTAGTCAAAATAACAATATTTTAAAATATTTATTTAAAATGGCAGAATGACAATATTTTTATAAAATAATATGTATTCAGATTTTAGTAATTAAAATTAATTTTATTTATGGAAAGAGTCCTATATTGGACCAAATTATATATCAATACCCATTTAAAGAAAAAAAAATTAAACCAATGCACATTAACCTTGTTTCAACTCCATTCACGTTTCTTCCCCACTTTTCACCTTTCTTCCCCACCTTTCACGTTTCAAGTTTATCTTTCTTCAAGGTGCTAAATTGTTGTTCATCAAGAAATCTTCTTTATTGTTAAATGAAATCTATTTATTAATTCAAGCAGATTTCTCGATTG